GGTGTCAAGCCTCCTGCCCACAGACTATGGCCTGGGCCCTGCAGGGAAACCTGTAAAAGACTACCGGTCTCTCTCCCCGGCATCAGCTGGAGACACCTTGGGAGGAGATAGTCAGTCCTCCACCCCAACCACAGGAAAAGATACTAGGAGTGGAGACACTCCCCAGCAGCTGGGCCTGTCATCCGGAGACAAGCCCCCTGGCATGGATCTTGCAGATGGGACCGAGATCTCTACACCAGCCCTACAGGGATGCTGGGCAGCCTGCCCAGATCCCCAACTGCAGAATCCCGTCCAAGATGAGGATGCCAGCAGCAGTCTTCCCCAAGAGCAGGGTGAGAGCCTGGGAGAAGAGGGTGTCGTCTCTCCCCAACCACAGCGGGAATACCCGGGAGAGGGGTTGATTCCTTTCCCCATCGACCAATTCCCAACCGTGTCCCGGGTGCAGCGGAGGGAACTATGGCCTGCACTGACACCCTCCCAGCAGAAGAGCTGGTGTCAGGGCAGAGCGCAGTTGGACTCTGACCTACCTGTCCTTTTGTTCTGGGGCCTGACAAACCCCCCACCAACCCAACTGAACCACTGGCTACAGGGTAGAGCGCCGCTGGCCTCTGCCCACCAAGCACGGATGGCTTCATAAGTGAGTTCCAGGGAGAGGGGATTGTCGATCCCTCTCCCCAGCAGCAGTATGGTCTAAAGGGAGAAGGGACAACCGGTCCCTCTCCCCAGTGGCAGGAGTTACTTGATCCACCCGAGGGGAAATGCATCCGGGTTCTTTCCCCGCAGGACCCTGGAAATACAAATGAGCACTTGTGGCAGGAGGCCTTCTGAACAACTACACCTATTGGGAAAGGCCACCAGACTATCACAGACCCAGACCGATTGGAGGTCTGCATAGTCTCTCCGGGAGGGGGAAGATATGTGACAAACTCCCCTTCCCACGTGAGTTTGCCAGCCTCCTGCCCACAGACTATGGGCCCTGCAGGGAAACCTGTAAAAGACTACCGAACTTGACCGACCGTTAGCACTGATTACATGCACGGTCGGTCAAAATTATAACTTCCATGTGTTTTTTATGTGTTTTAAAGGTATTTTGGGGGTTTTGTAATATTGTATGTTTTTCTGTGCCTGGAGATAATTGAGTTAGTTCAGTTCCTGACTCAATTATCTCTCAAGCACATGAAGGAGTTTTGTAACATGCTACTAGTCCCCTCTCCGGTCCAAGAGAAGGTTTATCCTGTTTGTGTGGGAGTGTCAGGGGCGTGCTTAACTGTGTCTGAAATTGTATAAGAGCAGGCCATCTGGCCAGATTAAAACATTCCAGCTAGTACTCCCAGAACTATGTGTCGTCTGGTTACTGGGAGGGGAAAGGGCTAATCACTGTTCCAGTGTGGAGGATTCAACAGGGAAAGTCCTTGTAAGGACTAGAGCTCCCAGGACTGAGTGTCATCCAGTGCCTGGGGGTGGCTAGAGCGAGTCCCCCATTTGGCTCCAGGAGGGAGCAGTTCCAGGACTCCAGTCAAGCCACAGCGACGGTAGGCAGAAGTGCTGTGGTTTGTCCCCTGTTCCAGCTAGGAAGTGGTCCTCGGCTGAGGTAACCAGCCAGGGGTACAGGGAGCTCTGTTACACCATCATTAGCAGCTTTCCCTCGGTGCCCCTGGTTTGGCACTTTCCCTTCTCACGAATGGAACCAAACGCTAGCTCCCTGGCAGCCGTTCGCATGAATAAACCCACGAATGGTCCTCAGCGGTACATAGCCGTGACCGCCATGGAACTAATTTCGGCATGAAGACTTTGTGGTTCCCGGTCACCCTAGCGGTACTTAGCTGCGAATGTTATGGAACTTTTTTCGGCATGAGGTGACCTTGCAGTTCCCAGACAAGTTTGTCCGTGGTTTTGAACCACTTAACGACCCACCAGGAGAGTGCTTTTTGGAAGGAAGTTGCCTGAGACTAAGGGGAACAAGCGTCAAGAGAGTCAGGCGGAGCATCCCATATTGTGGCTGCAGGAGCTCCCGAAAGTTGACCGGCCAAAGTACACGGTCAAAACTTTTACACTGTGGCATTTCGCCTATGGATCTGAGCGCTATTTGGACAACCTGGGTGCTCAGATCAGGCTGTATGGGGATGAATGTTAATTGGGGTTAATATATGTTTTTATAATGTTTTAGGGTACTTTTATGTTTTTGTGTTTGGCTCTCTGTTCTTAGGAGATAAATAGCTTAACAACTCTTGACCTCAATTATCTCCCAGGCACAGAGATCTCAGAGGAGCTTGTATTGTATTGTTTGCAGACCCTATACTGTGGGTCGTGTATATAAGCAGGCAACTCGGCCTAAATAAACCAGTTAATTTTCACCCTTCACTGAGTCTAGGCTAGTGTTTGGGTGAACAAGCTATATAGCCATACTCTCTGCAGTAAAGCATAATCACTTGGAGCTGTACCCAGGACCGTGTTCAGGGGAGGGAAGCTACGAAGAGACACCAGCCAAGCTGAGGCAGCTGGGGCCTGAAGTACTATAGGTGTCCCGGTGGAGAGCTGGGAAGCAAGCTTGATGAAGGTACTAAGCTGGGGTGCCAGGCAGTCCATCACATAGTCCACAATCCCTAGAATGCTGAATGGCTCATTAAGGCCTTAACGATAAGCCTGTCCCTGCATAACAATAGCCAAGACAATCAACCAACTGTGTACTCACAGAAAACCAGCATCAAGAGCATCATATAAAGAGGTCCTAATTCATTCACAATCCTATCTGGGTATTTTCCAAACACCCATCACAGTAATAATAAGAAGTGTTCAGAGATACACCATCACAGCTATAACAGTGTGCTCTTTTCAGGACTCCTTCAATAGAGTAATGAAGACCAGTGCTGGCACTTCCATTAGGCCAGTTAGGCAGTGGCCTATGGCGCTCTCTAGGAGGGGGCGCCTGCAGGGGCTGTAACACTCTGGATCGGCTGAGAACATGCTGCACTCACAGAAACCGTTTGTGTGTGTGTGTGTGTGTGTGTGTGTGTGTGTGTAAAATGTAATAGGCAGGGTGTGTGTGTATGTATTTGGCAGTGTGTGTGTCTGTGTGTAAAATGTAATAGGCAGTGTGTGTGTGTATGAGTGTAAAATGTAATAGGCAGTGTCGGTGTGTGGATGTACAGTATGTATTAGGCATTTTGTGTGTGTTGGTGTATGTATATAGCAGTATGTGTGTGTGTATTTGGCAATGTACATGTGTGTGCATGTGTTACCTATAATGTAGCTGTATGTTTATATATTAGACAGCGTGTGTATGTATTTGGCAGTGTGTGTGTGTGTGTGTGTGTGTGTGTATAAAGGAGTGTGGATGTACAGTATGTATTAGGCAGTGTATTTATATAGATAGGTCTCTGTTCCTTGTTGCCCCAGTCTTTTGCTATGTGCCTGTCCCACTAAAAAAAAATAAAAAATCAAGCAGGCAGACACATTAGGGTTCATTCACTAAACAGTGATTTTGATAAGTCTATAAAAACTTAAAACGTAGGTCAAACTTTTACGTTTTCAACAAAGGGGAGATGGAGACTTTTCCAACTTGTCTATTTTAGCTTCTTTTCAACCCACCACTTAATGAATAGACCCATTTGGAGGGGGAAAACACTCAGGGAACACTGTGAAAGGGTAAGAGACACTAAAATGCAAAAACAAAAGCAGCGACAGACTGGAAAAATAAAGTAGAGAATGGTAAGCAGAGATGGAGACTGTAAGTAAAGGACAGAACTGAGGAAAAGTTGTGTGTGAGTCTCTTAGCAAAAGTGAGCGTATAAACACTAGTTTTGCTAAGAACGAGGAATAAACACACAAAGTATGTCAGCTTGCTGAAAGGCTTTATATGTCTGGAGTCTGTCAGTTCTGGCAGATTTTAAAAGTGACAATTTCAATAGAAATCGGACCTTTTTATAATTGGGGCAAAAACACCTCACTGTCTGTCACTCAGGCAGCCAGGAAGGATTTCTGCCACTTCCTTTAGTTCCACTGAGCTAACAGAAGAGGCAGACTAGCTGTACTAGCGTGTGCCTGCATTCCACCTTTCTCAATGAGCTGAACTAGAGCTCAGTGGGAAACCTAGGAAAGCCATGATCCAGAGTTCATGCGCGCTCTTGCGGATTCAGCACAGACGCTTCGTCTCCATTAGAAGCCTCTGGTTGAAGTATTACCTGGCACAGACAAGGGGCTTGCAGAAAAACATGCTCAAAAATAAAAGCATATTTTCTCTGAGGGTATGTCTAATAAATTGTTAATAAAAAAAACTGTGAAATGTTTAGTTTGGTGATTAGTGAATAAACTCTTTTCGCAATTGAACTATCTCATGAGGGGGCGGCAAAATGGATCTTTGCCTAGGGCGGCAGAATTTTTTGCACCAGCTCTGATGAAGACACGGTGCAAAGAGGGACATAGAGACAGGATTTACATAAGTGTGACTAACAAAACGGGAGCCAAGGGAGCATGCAAATTATTAGTCAGCATCTGTGAACTGGACGGGATTCAAGAGACTGTTTAATGCTCTTGTGTCACATGGTGAGCTCCAAGCATTACTACCTTCAAAACACTCATTTGTATTTAAAATGTCCAAGAAAAAAAAGATGTATGTCAAACAAAACCAGGTGTCAGGAGAGATATATCTTAAAGGAGGACAAAAATATACATACAAGGTGTGGGAAATACATTAGAAAAAGCAAATCTAAACACATGGAGGTCTCTTTATACAGAGGAAATATTGGGCAAAGTTCTAAATGTGGAGCAAATAGTAGGGACATTCTATTCATTTCCAGGGTGACAGCTCAAGGCAGGTCCATTCTGGTGGTTAATGATGACTGCTCCTCTTTTATAATTTTGCCCAGCAATTTCTTTGTGTCCATAATAAGCAATAAAAATCTAACTCTCACATACAAAGATAGAATTTACTGGAATAGTTTTTTGTTTTTTTTCTCACATCTGTTTGCATTTCTTGGATTCCAGCAATCAGATTGCTGAAAGGGATGTTTAATAAATGGAACTAGTTTTACCTCTGTGCTGGATTCAGGTTCACGTGTCCCGGGCTAATTTGAGGACTGACTCCTTTGCAGTGAACGACACACTCTTTACCTTTGGTGACTTCGCTGCTTGGTTGCATTGTTCCATTCGTTTGATGTGGTTCTCCTGTCAGCCTTGCCCTTGCAAAGCTGTCATTTACCACAAGGTATAAATATATATTAAAGCCCCAATCTTTGAGATCTGTGGACTCAAGTGGAGAAAGAAGATACAACAATTTCTCATTTATCATCCGCAATAGACTCAATGTCTACGTAAAGTTGAATATTGAACTTGGAGGGGAAACAACGTGAATCTATCCAGTGACCAAAATTCCATTAGATAAATCCGTGGTCTTGTTAACCATCAGCGGTGGGTTAGGAAAAGTCTAGGCTTATTCCGTAGAACTTCTAAGCCTAAAGAAGAGGCTTATAATAATCTGTAGTAAGAGCTAAACATTCAGGCAGGGTTACAGCTTTTCCACAGCTTGATGGACAAGTAAACCTTGCTTGTGTGATAAGGTCTCGTTCTTCTGGAATGAGAGCTTTAGGGAGCTGGATGCCAGGAGTTAACAGATGAGGCGTGTCTTACAGACGGACACTGGCGTATGTGACTGCTGAAGCTTTCCAAACTTCATCTAGAAGAGGCGAAGAAGTTACATCCAGAACAGAACAGATGTCAGCTTTTTCCTAGATTCTACGAACGCTAAAAAATTTTTTGGCAACAAATAAAATTCTTTTGATCTCTTGATGCATAGCTCTGAGATGACATTGTGAATTCTCGTAACCTTCTCATGACAAGGGGTTATATCATGACAACCATGTCACCTGCCCATGAAGGGGTTAAATTAAACATAGATACATTGTTTGCTGTATCATTTTAATGTAGTGGTTTTGGTGCAAAGATGCTGCACCTTTTCTTGGATATTGGAAAACATTCCTATTTCTGAGAAATGGCGTTGCTTACATTTGACTGAAAACACACCTGTGCTGATTGCCTGACTGACAGTCACTAGAGGCTTTTCGTTTTCAAGTACTTAGATTTTTGAAAGGCAATTTTTCATCTGCACACGTTAAGTGTCTCTTAAAGGAACACACTTATGTTAAAAAATAAGTATATTTATTTTAAATGTTCGTGTGTTCCTTTATTACGTAGATTTTTATTTTATTTTTCATTCTTTATTTTTTGCAGTGCATAAGATAACAAACATGTTTGCAAAGACAATTCACAAGAGGTGTGTGTGTGTGTGTGTGTGTATGTGTGTATATATATCGATTTAGATAGGAAACTAAAGCATTAACTGTCGCAGATACAGCACTTTTTATAAAATAAATGAATAGAATATAGTTCCATGAGTTAAAGCAAAGGTAGAGTGAGAGAAACTATTGGGAATCTTAGAACTAGAGGTAGGTTCAGGAGGCAAATACCACTGGGTAAGCAGATGAGTTAATTTAGATTCCAGAGCACCTACACAGAAATTCTAGATTTGTGCGTAAGAATTGTGGTTTCTACAGGCTTTACTCTGGAGTTGGAAAAAGTTATTCCTCCTCCACATTTCATCTTCCAATAATAAAAAAAAGAAACCATTAATACCATGTACTATTTTCCTTCTTCAACATTCGTCATTATAACTGTGCCAAGACAAAGATTTGGAGGGTTCTACTCGCCTCTCTTTCTGGTAAAAAGACATGAGGAAAATGGAGACCCATATTGGACCTCCATCAACTCAATCTTCTACTACAGGTAAGGAAATTTTGCATGGAATCGCTAAGGTCCAAAGTACCTATAGTACATCTGGGAGACTGGCTGATATTTGTGGACCTCAGGGATGCATATTTACACATTGAAGACAATTTATTTACATATTCTTATTGCCGATCCTCACAAAACGTTTTCCAGGTTTTGTCTATGCAACCATAATTTCCAGTTTCAGGCTTTGCGTTATGGGATCAGCACAGGTTCAAGAACTCTTGTCACCACTATATGCTTACTAAGGAAGGAAGAAAAGTGTGATCACTTTTCATTACCTGGACAACATACTTTTGTTGGCTCCAGAATACAATATGATGCTTCAACATTGGTCCCTGGTCATTCAGATGCTCTCTCATTTTGGATGGTTAGTCAATCAAGAGAAGAGTCTGTTACAATTCCATATAGACATGATGATGTGAGTTGCGCACGTGTACACACTCTGAGGGAGAGACCAGCTTTCGAAATAGTGGCTGCTCCGTTCTGCTGTGAGCCAAATATTGATTTCTCTGCCTCCTTCCCCTTGCCTCATGCAAGAATGAGATCTAATGTATAGGTATCTTCCCCTGCCTGCTCCCTTCCTAGCTACCTAAGGATAATTTTCCTTCCCGTACAGCTAACGTCTAACATCAGCATAGCCATGCATAGGAAACACAGAAACAGGACGTGAGACTCAGAAGCAGGATGCGCTTGCTGAGAAGCGTGCTGTTATAGCAAGAGGGCAATTGAAGATCCTTATACAGATCGCGGAGACCCTGAATATGCTGAGCTGCCTTGAGGGGTGAGTAGCTCCCTCAGGAGCGTAAATACAAAGAGGGGGAAGAGGGGGAAGAGGGAAAGGAATTAATAATAAGAGAAAAGTGATTTTAACATAAAGTCTATTATATCAGACCATTTTTTTTTTTTTTTTGGTATGTTTGCTTTTTTTTCTCTTCTGTATTCATTTAGAAATCTATTTGTAATATTGACTAAACGACCAATTCCTCAAGATAACAAAAATAAACGCTAAAGCTCCTATAAAAAGTTATATTTGGAAATCTAAAGGGCCCTTATTGGAAATACTGGAATACTGACTAAATGGTTACTTCCTCAAGACAACTGTAGTTCACAAATAAAGAGAAGGAAGGAAAGATTAAAAAGGGAGGAGAGGAGAAAATGGGATGATGAGGAAAGAGAAGAGGCTTGGTGAATGGTGTCAGGAGCAAGGATTTGGCTTTATTTCTCATGGTAGCTCTGTTTTGGAATGGAAATAAGCTGTACACAAAGGATGGTTTGCATCTTTCTCAAAAGGGAACAAATGTTTTCAGTGAGCAGTTCAGAGGTTTTGCTAGGATGTATTTAAACTGGGAGGGGGGGGGGCAAAAGGGTGATAAAACATCAATCCAATTGTCCCCCAAAACAAGGACAGAAGGTGCCTGTAGCAAGTGTGTTAAAAAAGGATAAGCTTAGAGTCATGTCTACAAATGCTCGCAGTTTAGGGAATAAGATCCATGAACTTGTGGCAATAATGGCAACTGATAGTGTAGATTTATTCGCTGTTACTGAGAGACATGGTATAATGAGAAAAATTACAGGGACATAGCAATACCAGGGTACTCTTTTTATATAGAAAAGATAGGGAAGGCAAGAAAGGGGGAGGGGTGGCCCTGTATGTGAAGGATAGCATAAAATCTAGCCTAATAAGTTAGTGAGACAAACATAGAGTCCGTTTGGGCTACGTTAGAATTTGGTAATCACACAGTAACTCGTGTAGGTGTGATTTATAGGCCCCCAGGACAAATTGAAGAGTTAGATAATCTACTAGTTAAGGAAATAGCTAAAATGACAATGAAGGGGGAAGTTATCATCATGGGTGACTTTAATCTTCCTGATGTGAATTGGAAAACCTAAATAGCTGCTTGTGCCAGGAGCACACATATTCTAAACTCCCTACTGGAATTGTCTCTAAAACAACTCATTGAGGAACCAACTCGTAAGGAGGCCATACTAGATTTACTGTTTACAAATGGAGATTTGGTATCAGATATTACTGTAGGTGAAAGTTTAGGATCCAGTGATCATCAGTCAGTGTGGTTTAATATAAGAACAGTGACTGAGTCACATCACACAAAAACAAAAGTTTTAGACTTTAGAAAAACAGACTTTTATAAAATTAGAATATGCGTAAAGGAGTCCTTGTCAGACTGGAGCAGTTTAAATGGAGTCCAGGAGAAATGGGATTATTTAAAAGTTGCACTGCTGAAGGCAACAGAAAATTGCATTAGGCTTATCAGTAAAAGCAAAAAATGTAAGAAACCACTGTGGTACTCCGCAGATGTGGCCAAAATAGAAAAAAACTAAAATTTAGCATTTAGTCATTTTTAAAACAAATCCCAGAGTGAGGAAGACACATATCCATAAGATTAGGCAAAAAGAGGCTAAGCAAGTTATAAGAGCCTCCAAAGCATACACAGAAGAGAAAATAGCACAGTCAGTAAAAAAGGGGATAAAACATTTTTTAGATGCATAAATGAGAAAAGGAAAGTAAAACAAGGGTTAGTTAGATTAAAACAAAAGAAGGAAGGTATGTAGAAGAGGATAAAGGTCTAGCTGACTGCCTCAATTAATATTTTTGTTAAGTATTTGTAGCGGGACCTAGTTAACCTGGCTGGTTATCCCCTTCGGTTAGAATAGGTCATACCCATTTCCCCAGTAACAGGACGGGACACAGTTCTAGGATACAATGTTTGACAATGCTTATTGGGCACACAGCTTTTTATGCACAGACCCCTGCAGGGGGGTCTCCATCCAGCCCAACACAAACACCCATACAGGAGGGGGCTGGGGAACTGATAACCATCTCCCGCTCTGGGAGATACTAACAGGACACAGGGACACACATGAGTACACATCACATGCAAGGGGGTGAACTTTGAGGCTTGGCACCCCAGGACGGGAAGGGAGTACAGGGTTAAATTTTATATGATTTCTCTGCCTCCTTCCCCTTGCCCCATCTGGGATCCCTACAAAAAGTGGGGTGATCGGATGTACAGAACCAGAGATATCAGCGTCGGAAGTCTGGGGCTCAAGGCTCTGTACATCCCCGGAATCAGTTCCATGGTGTTGCTTGGTTTAGTCTGGTGAATTCAAACTTCGTGCCTAAACCAAGCCACGACCAATCAGCCGAACTGGCGCGAACCAAATCACGCCAACCAGCGTTAGGGAAAGGAAGGAGTTTCGCCAGGGCGCCGTGCGCCGTCGCGCCCCCGGTAGGTCAAAAGGTGTAGTGCAGGGTTTTACAGGCAAAATTATAGAAAAAGGAATAGGAAAGAGGGGACACACATATTCTAATAGGCACATGCACACGCAAAAGAAACAAGGCAATTCACAGTTTAGGCAATCCCACCACAGTATTTACAAATGAAAATGAAGGAAAGGGACCTCAGTTAGGAAAAAGGACACGAGTCATTTGTTACATGTGAGTTTAAAGAGGAAGAGGTTCTAGTTCAACTGTCAAAAGTAAAGACAAATAAGTCAATGGGACCTGATGGAATACACCCAAAGCTGTTAAAATAGCT